GGGTCACAAGTGCGGATGGTTATTGGTGGGTGCATATAATTGTGGGTGGGTACGGATGGGTAGGGGTGAAAGAAAAATTGGTTGGGTATGGTACAGGTGGTTAACAAAAGGTTTGGGTGTGGGTGGCCATGGGTAGTTTTGAAACAGAAAGTCCATGGGCAGCTATGGGCAGTTACTGTCTGAAGGGCTTCAGGTAGGGCAAGTACACTTTTTTTTTTTTTGAGCAGGTAAGGGTGGGTGAAGGTCCGGTCGGCCATCTATACAGTGGGTATGGGTGGTTAGTTTTCAAAGAGGGTATCGGTAGGTAAGGTACAGGTATTCCAAAAAATCCCAGTTGCCACCTCTGATGCAAAGTCCAACTTAGAGCAGCTTAGAAATTCCAGCGAATTATCATATTAATATTATTAAACGGTTTCAGAGTTCTAGTCGCCAGCGCTCAACAGTGCGGAGTTCAGCAACCCATAACCAGCATCCTCATCCAAGGTAGGTGACTCTCTCTCTCTCTCTCTCTATATATATATATATATATATACGTGAAGATCTTGAGTCTGGATACATCCACTACTACTCAGCTCTATCTCCTCCTACTAGCAGTGCGGCTATGGCCGCCTTCCTTCCTCAACACAACGCTGCCCAGCCAGGGCTCCAGCGTCAGTCACTCGCAGATAGCGCACGAGTGCCAGAAGCACTTCCACACTTCTTGCAAATGAGCAATCTGTCCTAAATGAGGCTGGCCAGTCCTTACATTGACTTGGACTGAGCCTTCACTCGTCCCAGCCTCTGCCTCCTTTGGCTTCACTTGGATCCGGTACCACATGCCCCCGACCTGTTTGCTTCAGAATGTCGAGGCCTGGTACCTCCCTGAGCTTCCCTTGGTGTGCTGCTACTTTGGGTCTGTGAGTCACGACTTTTCACCTGTGGAATATGATTTTTGACTGCCGGATGTGACACTCTTGCCTGTGGGACACGACCTTTGCCTGTGAGACATGACCCTTGCCTGTGGGATGCGACTTTTGCCCCTAGGACGTGACTGTTCATTGGGTACCTGTTGGGCTTGACTTCTGGGGTACCCCACTTAGCTTTTCTGAAACTGGTCAACTCGGCCTCTTTCGGTCTGGGATTTGACCCACGGTCAAAGTCCCAGGCCTCTTCATGCCACCATTGGAGGCAGGGAGTCTCTTTAACGATGTCCGTCAGGAACACGCAGACACGCACTCAATCCTGAACATAACTGCCCCCTACTAATGGTGTAGCAGGCACTCCATACAAACAGGCACTGACTGTTTGGCACATCTTGAGGGTGCTCACCCCTACTAATGGTGTAGCAGGCACTCCATACAAACAGGCACTGACTGTTTGGCACATCTTGAGGGTGCTCACTTTGGCAGGAGAACATATAGAAAGACTAGAGGGCACAAACAAAGTGGACAGCGCAGATGATGCTTAGAACAGATTGGCTTTCTGGATTGATCGATGCTGAGGCTGATAGACCGTAGTAAAATGTTCATCGATTCAGCCGTAAGAACTCCTCGCCAACCCATGCTAGATGGTCGTGCATCACACGGCTCTCCAACCTGAGTAAGTCCGCCTTATCGTATCAAGCACTAGCAGTCGTTGGCGTGGTTTTCTAGTGTGTTTGGGTTACTAATGGGCGTGGGTTTCTAGTGGGTTTGGGTTACTAGTGGGCGTGGTTTTCTAGTGGACATTGGTTTCTGGTGGGCGTGGCCACCAGCTATGCCCATCTCTGTTCGGTATGGGCCTGCCATCTACGCGCTTGCTCACCATCTTTCTTATTATATATACAACTCGTTGTGTTTATAGTGCGAGTTCTAAGCGCGCAGTTGTTATTCTCATCACCCAGGCCGAAGGGATTACAAGTTAAAACACTTCCAAAGAACACATTAAAAAGACTTTAAAAAAGTAGAAGAAAATATTTTTTGGGCCAGTCTGCCCAATGAGTAGTTCCCAAAAAAAGAAACAGCCTTACCTAAGTTGCCTTACAATTTCTATCAAGTGAGATGTGATCTTTTGTTATAAATGATTGTAATGTTTTGATATAACTTGATAGAAGACTATTTAGGTAAGACTGTTTCAATTCTGAATCTACTCATCTGGGTGCAAAAGGGGTCGTTCTAATGACAGTCTATAACACACACACACACACACACACACACACACACACACACACACATTTCCACACACACTATAAACACACACACACACACACACACACACACACACACACACACACACACACACAAACACACAAACGCGTGCGCGCTCGCACAACGTGCCTCTGTGTTCCTAGCATGTATGAGCAACATACTAGCCTGTGACATCTGTCAGCACCGCGCCATGCGATGCAGCAATTGTGACTGCGAAAATTGGATGCGGTGCTTCCATAGTCCACACCCGAACCGGTCCTGTCCAGTCTGTTACCATAGGCAATAACTGCTTCTCGACCAAAAAATATTTTCTTGCAACCCTGTGCCATTGTAGAGTAGTCTGTTCCAGCGGTGAGTGTTTAGAATTCTGCGAAGGTCATCATACACCTCTCCCCTGCCCTTTGCATGTCATACTCTATCCTGACCTTCACATGTTTCTTTCCTGCCCCTTACCCTCCACCTCCCCCTACCCCACACTCCTACAGAACTCCGCCTTCTATCCCTTTCCCTCTACCCTCCCCTTTTGCGTTACTAGCAAATACATACGAATGAGCCTCGTTGAGAGGACAGAGGATATGAAGATCGGAAATGAAATGAACGGAAGTACGAAAACGAACGACGGACACAAAGACTAAGAAGTATAAGCTGAAGATCTGAAGTGAAATGAACAGGAGTACGAAGGCCTGAAGAGAAAAAAAGCCCAGGAGCATAGTACCTTCCCTTTTACTCTGCCTCCTCCTGTTATAACGTGCAAGTAGGCCGTTAAGGCACACAGGGATGTGGTGCAGCTGCCGCTCAACCACCATTAGCGCAGGCAGCCTTGTACGTGTGAGGCATAGTAAAAGAGGAGCTGTTGCCCCGAAGAAACCCCAGCTAAATACAGTTCTAAATGGTTCTATTATGATTCATGTTGCTTGCTAAAGAGGTGAAATTCTTTAATTGTTGAGCTGGCTCAACTCGTATCTACTCTTCTGGATGGAATAGGGCCTGTTGTGGTGCAATTTAAAAAAAAAACACACGCACGATTATCAAAAACATGGCTACGCTGGTTCCGGACCCGGACAGCTCATGTCCGGGGACCGGACACATGTCCGGTTCGGACACATGCGGACCTCCACACATGCATGGTTCCTGACGGTCCGGACCGGTAAGCAGGTCCAGAAATGTACGGACTCCGGACCATTAAAAAAAAAAAGAAAAGAAAAAAATCTGAAAATAACAATGCAAACCACTTTTGCCCCAGAGTCATGTTAAAATTCCTAACCAAACTTTGTGGTAAAAGTCAAAATGACTCAAAAACTATAAAACACTTAAAAAACGTTATTAATTATTAATAATTAAAAAAAGGATATGTCTAATAAATGATTACAGAGATAGACCATGTCCGGACCCCCCCCAAAAAACAAAAACGGGCCTGAAACCCCCCCAAAACAATTTTGGGGGCTCGGCTCCTCAGTGGGGAAGGGTCCTGCACCCTTCTTTTTTCTTTTTTTCTTGAAGTTTGGCAGATCCAGACCTTCCAGACCTTCGGACATCTGGAGTCCGGAATGAGTCCAGACCGGCTGGACGGTGGTCCGGACGTCCGGATCGTAGCCATGGTAACAAGTTATTTGTGGTATTTTAGATGAGTGGAATGTCTTGACGAAGCTGCCGTCTCATTGTCATTTTCTGAGAGGTGTACGGTTCAGCACACCTGGTCCAGTGCATCTTGTTCTCTCAGTGATGCTCATTAGTACGTGTCTGTCTGTGTGGACTCATTTCTGTGTGTCTGTTCCCCTTCCCCTCCCTTACCCTCCCTTCCCCCCCACCCCCCCTCTGCCCCCCCTTCCCTCCCTGCCCCTCCCCCCAACACACATACGCATACACAGATTTGGCAATAGAGGGGTGAAGGAAAAAGGAAAACATGCAGCTGATTACAGGCAAGGGGAGCCGAATCTGGAAAAAAAGAGAAAGTTTGTGCATCACCTGTTGTTGAGTTCTTGCTACGGGTAGGCAACATCAAATCTGGCAGAGGTGTTCTGTCCCTCTTACTGCCAGCAGGTGGCTTAGGCCTCGCAGTTCCGTCAGACAGTGTAGACTCCCTGCTACTGGGTGGTTCCGTTGAGTCCGTTCGTAGTGTCGACTCCCTGCTACCAGCAGCTGGCATCGAATGCCTGCTAGTAGCAGGTGGCGCCGGCAACGAGTGCTTGCCACTGGTCGATGGGACTGGGACTGAGTTTTCACCACTGTCCTGTGGCCTTGGGTCCTTCCCAATCGCCGTAAGCGAGAGTGAGTCGCTGTTACTCGTAGACATCATTGACCCTGTAGCCTCCCTAGTATCCATCACGGTGACCTTCAGATTGACATCTGGCCAGGCAGCAGTATCAGTTATGGGAGAGGTAGGAAGAGGAGCGGGATGAGGCGGCAGAGGACAAGAAGGAAGCGGCGGCGAAGGAGAAGGAGAAAGAGGAGGAGGAGGAGGAGGAGGAGGAGGAGGAGGAGTTAGACTTGGCGCTCGCACTGCAGACTGTGAAGAGATAATGATGAGGCTCCTTGGTAATTGAGTTTGGCCTATGTGGCATCTTCCCGTCTCTGTTAGGCTCTCCTCAGGCTCGCTAACCTCGTGATGTCGAAGTGACGTAACGGATTCCTGCTCGCTGATCTCCTGTTTCATGTGCAAATCACACAGGCCAAAACGGCAAAGAAACCGTTACGTCACTTCGACATCACGAGGTTAGCGAGAAATTATGGCATTTTTTATCACCCAGTGGCACCAGAGAATTACGAAATGGATTTACCGAAGGAAAAGAGAGAATTCAAAGCAGAAAAAAAAAGGCAATTCATTTGGGAGAGAAAGTGTGTGAGAACAGAGGAGGCCAGAAGCAGAAGGAAAGAGAGAGAAGAGCAAGGATGCAAGTGTTTTCTTAACGCGAGAGAGTCCTCCAGAAGTCAACTTGAAAGGGAAAGAGAGAAGAGGGCCAGGGCCGAGGTGACACTAGCAAACAGGATTGGATTTGACGAGCGAATGGGGGTGTGTGTTCAACGCAGAGAGATGCAGAAAAGAACTTAAGGTGAATCGTGGTGTTCTGCACCGCTGCGCAAAGAATTCAGACGTTGAATGCAATCATCTTTGCTAGTGGGACCTCGCCACAGGCCACATCGATTGTCATCAGAGGATTGAGAAATCAAAAAGGAAAGAGAGAAAAAGGCAAAGCCACGTTGTTTATGATCCGAGAGTTAACAAGCAGAATTCGCAAATCAAAAGGAAAGAGAAAGCCAATAGTAGGACTTAAGAGACGAGAGAGGAGAGGACAGAGGAGAGGAGAGAGAAGAGGGAAGAGGAGGAGAGAGAGGAGAGGGGGAAAAGAAGAGAGTGAAAAGGAGTTTGGCTCATGAGACTGTTGGAGTTTACATAGTGTCCCACGACTGAGAACCAGGCACCTGGGAACAGACTGCAGCACAGGTAGAACTTGGGACCAAGTTCCATGGATGAGGGACCAATGAGCAAGGTGGTCGGCCCTTCGTCCCTCTTCTATCCAATGTGGTACTTCATGAGCTTGAGAAATTTGTCATGCGACTGARGAGCATTGCCGATAGAGGGTCGTCGATAGAGAGGGCAACCGCCGCAGGTTGCGGACAAAAAGGCTCACTGCGAAGATCCGGCGGCGATTGGAGAGCAGCCTTCAAGACGCGCCTTCGCCCCTCGCGTTCGTCGGGTCGCCAGAGTCATTTTAGAAGGATTCACTATGTTCGCTATGCGGACGACTTCCTGATTTACGACCAAGGACCAGGAGCCAACGACCTGGCGCCAGGGACCAACAATCAAGGACAAGGGACCAAGGATCAATGAGCAGGGACCAGGGACCAGGGACCACCTAACAGGGACCAGGCACCACCGACCAAGGGCAAGGGACCAAGGATCCATGACGAGGGACCAGGGGCCACCGACCTGTGGCCAGGGATCAACGACCAAGGACCAGGGATCAACGACCAAGGACCAGGGACCAAGGATCAATGACTGGGG